AACTGGAGGCAAGGCGAGAGCAGCCAAACGTGAGCACCGACGCAGCTATCCTAACTAATAATTTGAGGGTTCGCCCGCAGTCCACCTTCGACTGTGACATCTGGAAAACACATCAGGAAGCTACAGTGAGGTTGTGGCAAGGAAAGCAATGCAAGGACTTCCCTAATCCTAACCCTATCCCGGATTGGGCCTCAAAGTTACGTGCACTCTGTCTCAAGCCCCCTTGCTCTCCCTCACATCCGACCGCGTCCGTCGCTCCGAGACTTCCCAATCCATACCGTGCGTACCTCAGCCCAATAGCTCCTTCCGGGCTCCCCTTTCTGTCGCACGGCTACGCCAGGCCACTCCCCCCGCGCACTCCCGCTTCCCTCAGTCCCCTCCGGCCCGCCCCCCTCAGATGGACTCCTTGGCCTTGTTCACCGCCTTCTTCACCGCGTCCGTCGTCTTGTCCACGATGGAGTACTTCTCGTTCAACTCCAGAGCCTTGTCGATCGCTGAGTTTGAGAAGTCCACCGTCAGCCCCACCGCGCTCTTAGCCTTGCTCACCAGGTCGTACTCTTGGTCCAGGTCCGAGAGCTTCGTCTTGGTTGACTCCAGAGTCTCCTCCAGCTTGGCCACCACGGAGTCCTCGCCGTCGTTCTCCTTCAGCTTGGAGACTAAGGAGGAGGCGGAATTCGAGACCTTGGTTCCGATTTGGTACTTGGAGTTGATCTTCACGATGTAATTGAAGACCTCCAGAGCAGTCTTCCCCACCCCACGGGCCGCCTCCCCCACATCGTTGTCAGTCTTGGCCGCGTAGTTGGTGAGAAGGCCAAGGACGATGCCCAGCACAGGCCCCAGGAAGACGATGCCCGCGGAGGTACCGACGATGGCGGCGCTTGTCTCGATGGTCTGCGGGTTCACCGGCACCAAGGCAGTGCTTTTCGGCTCCCCTCCCGCCGGGGGCGTGCTCACGGCGGGGCTGATCTTGGGCTTATCCATCAGGTCCGACATCATGCGAACGCTCCTGGGGTCAGGCAAAACACCAGGAGGAACATGTGGGGAGAGGAAGTCAGAAGCGAGTCGAGTCTTTTTCTGCTGCCGAGAAGGACTCAACCATGAACACGGCAAGCCCAAAATTCATATTCATAGACACTTTAATCATCAATATCACGTTTGCTCTACGAAAAAACCTCCACTGCCTGTACTCATTCCAACGGTCCCACATAGATCAACTTTCGATACACCTATCCACTCGTGCCTCCTTCTCCCTCTCCCTTAACTTACCCCCTTGACACGCGGGGATGGCCTGCAAAGATCCATCGAATGGGGGTGAGAAAGGTGTTTATAATTAGTGTACTCAATGGCATTGAAAGGGAGCGAGGTGAGAACCATGGTAATCTGAACCGTCGGGCACACGCCTGGAACCCCGTTCCGCTTTTCCTTCTGCTCGCCTGCCATCGACTTACCCATGAAAGACAAGGCAACTGCTGGTAAAAGAGCTAGAAGAAAGAGTTGTCGGGCAGCCATTGCTATGAGAGGCGGAGACGACTGGTGGTGCCCATTTTACGGGAAAGGAAGCAAGAGAAAGGGTGAGGATTTTGTGCGAGCAACCACGGAGAGCTTCCCGCAATGCGAGGAAGGCGTCTTGCACGGGAGTGCCCCGAGTAATTGTTGGTGAGGACGCATCGCTTTCGAAGTGGGTGGTAGTGAATTAAAGAGAAAAAGGACACGGTGCCATAACGCACACAGGAGGAGGAAGAGAGGAGGCAAGGCCACAAGAGAAAAGAGGCCACCAACGAGTGACGGGAGGCGGAAAGCATCCTCTCCTCCTCTTCGCCTACTGCGGATTAATTTTGCCACCAGCGCCTTTTCCTCAAGCGTATCTTGCCCTCTGCAACAGCTTCAACCACACACTGCCTTGGCCACGCGGTCGACCCCGCACAGGCATTGGGGCACGTGCACACGGCGCCCAGTACACCCAACGTGTCTAGAGGAAGCGGAACAAAGGTTCAGCTACTATATGTGTGGCCTTCTCCCTCTCGTTTTGGATCCACTTCTACCACTTCTGCCCTCGCGTCTTCCCTCATCCTACCAGGGGCAAGGAACACGGGGATCAAGTGCACCCCCTGCCCTCGCTCACTCCTGGTTCACAACTAATTAAAATAACATCCATCATGACGATGATTCGGGTCCGCTTTTTTCTACACCATCCTGACTTACTGCTCCAGGTTGCTGATGCGTGCGCTCGCCTTTTTTGGGGGCTTAGCTCTTGTCTCAGGTAGGTCGACAGTGGTCAGAATGAGAATGGAACATGTACGCTGAGATTAACCGGAGTGTGGACCAACGGACACTTCGCTTCTAATAATCGTACCCATCTGTCTTGCCTTCCAAATCCATTACTTGCGTGTCTCGTTGTGCTAGACGAAGCGTGTTTCGCCTTTTAAAAAGGGCGCGTATTCGGCTCTCCTGACGTTGTAAAATGTGACATTTGCTGCGAAATACCCGCTGAGAACTCTAGAGCAGAAATTCGCATAGATTTGATAAATATTTAACCGATAATATTGCTCGTCCTGAACTCTACAGTTCTGCCAACTGTTACGCAAGGCTACATGCTGGCTACTTCCTCTGGATCATGCCAGGGCCCCACAATGTCCCTAAGCGATAGCCCCAGAAAGGTCCTGGTAACGGGGGCTGGAGGCCGTACGGGGACACTTGTCTTCCAGAAACTGCAGGCTAAGACGGATTTTCAGCCTATTGGACTCGTCCGTTCAAAGAAGTCAGCGTCAAAACTGCGGAAAGCTGCAGGAGCCACCGACGAACAAATCGTCATTGGTGACGTGATGGACCCGGCGACTCTGAGCAAAGCTTTGGAAGGTTGCGACTCTCTGATTCTATGCACAAGTGCCACACCCAAAATTCTACTCTTCAGTGTCATCAAAATCTTGTTTAAGAAGCTCCTGCGCAGGGCGCCAGGCCGGCCAGAGTTCAAGTTTCCCCCCCGGGGAGAACCCGAAGAGGTCGACTGGTTAGGCGCAAAGAATCAGGTGGACGCCGCGCTCGCAGCAGGCGTCAAACACTTTGTATTTCTGGGGTCCATGGGCGGGACCCAACCGGACAATTTCTTGAATAGTATCGGAAAACGCCCTGACGGATCGGGGGGGGACATTTTGCTGTGGAAACGCAAGGCGGAGAAATATCTGATTCAACGGGCCAACAGCCACGGGATGTCTTACACGATTGTGCACCCGGGGGGGCTGTTGGACAAGCCAGGAGGACAGCAGGAGCTCATTTTTGACGTGGATGACGTGCTTTTGCAGCGTACGACGCGCTCGATTCCTCGGGAGGACGTGGCGGAGGTATGTGTCCAGGCATTGCTGCAGTCCAAGGCTAAAAATGTGGCCTTGGATGTCATTGCAGAGGCAGTTGGTACAGGAACACCTACTACAGATTTTTCGGCACTGTTTGATAGCTTGCAAAACCGAAGCTGCGCGTATGAGTCTCCTTGAGCGGTAGCATTGATTCGGTGGAAGAGCTGTCGTGACGTTACATTTCGGGTGTAAGAGGGGAAAGGGGATATAACAGGACACTTGTATGCATAGTGAGTATCTTCTTCGCGTCTGCGACTAAGCATGATGAACAATTTGTCACGCAAGCCGGCGGACCGGACGTGAACCGTCAATCCTCCAAGAGAGTATGCTTCTTTGGCAACGTGATGGTGTTTCTTTACTTTGCTCGCCACGCTCCTGTTTTATGCTACCATAAGACTTTTCTTCACTTTGCTGTCCCCCTTGCCCCTTTTCTAGGACATGATCGGACCACTGGCAAGGAGCAGGTTCCGCTTTGTGAAAGTCACGTCCAACACTGGAGTGGCTTTCGTGTGCAACGTGGAATGCGGGGCAAGAGATACAGATGACATCAGAGAGGCGAAGTCTCCGTTCATGTCCCATGTCCGCACCGTCATGTCAGCGCCTCCACTCGCTAGCACTGTCCCGTCTGCGCTGTAATTCAAGCGATGTACGGGACCCTCGTGTCCTCTCAGAACAGCCACCTCCCGCCCTGATGCCACCTGCCAGATCCGAATGACCCCGTCCTCGTTCCCTTGGCCACCTCCCAGTCCCGCGCCTGCAAGAAACTGACCATCTGGACTGACAGTTAAGGCCGTAACCGGCCCAAAGTGTCCCGAATATAGCCGAAAACACCGACCACTCCCGAGGTCCCACAGCCGCACCGTCTTATCCCACGATCCGGTGACGAGATAGCTGCAGTTCGGATGCCAAGCGACGCAAGACACGTCCGAGTAGTGACCGACCAGCAGCCGCACCGGTTGCGTCCTGTTTGTGCACCACACGCGGCCGACCCGGTCGTAGGACCCGGAGGCGAAGTAGTGCCCGACGGGCGCGAAGCTCACGTCCCAGACCGGCACGTCGGTCGGGGACCTGTACACACACACGTTACGGGAGGCGGCCACGTCCCACAGCCGCACCGTCCCGTCCGAGGAGGCCGAGAGGAGATGTTGCTGCTCCGGTGCCCAGCTGACGCCGTGGACGGGTTGGCTGTGTCCTCTCATGATAAGCGGACCCTCAGGGGCCTGCTCCTCCCCGTCGCTGTGAAGCTTACTCCCATTCCCATTTTCCATCCCTACGGGGCCCTCCCCGGCCAAGCGGAAGACGCGCACTGCCCTGTCGTGGAAGCCTGCGGCAAGTTGAGTGGCGTCGGTCGTCATTCGCGCCACGGTGCACCCGTCGTAAGTGTTGGTCAAGGAGGCCATCAATACCGTCGGATTCCCGGGATCTGCCACCCCCATCGCTATTTCTTGTCGCGTCTTAGCAGCTAGCGCCTCCAGTTTTTGGAAGAGAGGGGCATTATATGGAGGCCTGCTGCTGTCATCTTTCACGTCGGACCCGCCCAGCCCCGTCGCTCTCCAGCGAACCGTAAACGCGTGGCTTATTTGACCACGCCCACCCCTGACCGGAGAGCCGCTATCTCTCCGTCCACCCCCCCGCCCCCCGGTACCCCTCCGCCACCAGCGATCCCGTCATTCCGAAACGTCACCACCTGGAAGCGAGGCATAGGAGGGCGCTCCTCAACCACCACGTGCACTTGCTCGTTCAAGATCTCCATGATTAGCAACAGATTGTGGTCGCTCAAGAAACTTTGTAAGAGGCGATAGCTGATGCTGCAGAGTCGAAGGACAAACTTGTCTGTCAAGGCGCGCTTGACAAATCCGTTGCCCGCCGTTAGGTGATCGGGCCGTTGAACGGCCGTCAAACTCCGCAATTCTAGTTGATATGTTTCTGCATGGTCAGGTCCCCAGGTCTGGAGGAAGGCTCTCGCTGCTTCTATCATACCCCGCTCTACAAGTTTCAGGTAGCTGTGAACGAAGACAGGAAAGGCCACTGTCAAGAGCTCGGGCTTGTAGGCCTCAAGGGCATTGCAAGTCCACGTCTGTAGCTCGTTGTAGTTTCGATGGTACAGCATCGGATCTGACATACGGAGAGAGCGAAAGAGTAACGCACTTTGATTCGCTTCACCAATTCGCTTGCACAACAAGCGCTCATCAGTAAATGCACCGCTAGGGACGGAAGAATCCTCGCTCTCGTTGCCCTCTTCGGCGCTGCCCACCGCTGCGTGAGCCTGGTCCTCTTCATAGTGTTTTGCCACCTCCGTGTATCCCCGCTTTTTTAGCCAGTGCAAAACTCTTTCCTCCTGCTGCGCGTCCTCCATGATGGCCTTATGATGGACGGCAAGTACTTGCTACACACCTAGTCGCTGCTGTTGCACCCGACCGGGCTGCAGCCGGAAGGGAACAGGTGACAACGCAGCCAAAATCCTTCCTCGCTCCACGCCCCTGCAGATGGGAATGCTGAGGAAGGGAATAAAAGTTAGGGGCAGATTTGCTTGTGCGGGGCAAGTGAAACAGGTGAAATAGGACGTGACAATCGCACCGAGTCCAGACGGTCGGCGAACAAGACGCGCTGGATTGCCCTCCATCACAGTGACCCAGCATCCAAAACAAGGCCATGCGAGACCACGCGTGCGGCGGTGCGATGGACATTGTAGGTAGTGATTTTTTACTTATTTTCGCGTTTAAAAACGATAGGAATTACTAGGGGCATTGATTGCGGCTTGCACCGCCCCTTCGATGTCGTTGCTGCTATCAAAAAGTGGCCGGAAGGAAGTTTTGGCGCTGCCGAACTCTTCTGGAGCCTTGATTTCGCCCGTCAAGGGATCCACGATCACACGTTTCACGTCACACTTCAGGTCTCGCAAAGCAGCGTACGCTTCATCGACGCTTTCCTGGTATCGTCCCGCTAACCGCAATAAGGGCTCTGCGCCCGCCTCGAGGAAAGCCTCCCCTAGCTCAGGGACACGGCTGACCATGTTCCGCACAGCCAAACAGCCTTGACGCTGTATTGCACGGGCCTCTGGATGCCGTTCCAGGGCCTCCAAGATTACCGACACGGCGCCCATTCCAAATAGGTGGCGGCAGTTGTCCGGACTCCGCAAAGCCATGGCTCCTAGTGTGGCGAGCCCGTGCTCCTGGATTTTTCTTTCCTGTGCGTGCTCTCGCATCGCCTCTAGCATCAGCTGAGCGGCGCCATTCTTACACAGACGTGTTTTGTGCCGGTCATCTGCGGAGACATTGCGGAAGAGCCCAGTGGCCGCCCGTGCCAGGGCCGGGTGGGAGAGGTGAGCTTGGAGCGCGCGCACGGTCCCAACCACTCCCCCCTCGGAGGCAATCTGGTTCACGCTCTCCTCGTTGTTGGCCAGATTCCGGAGGGCATCAAGTCCAGTGGCGACCGTGTCCGAGTCTGCGCCGAATCGACGGCAAGCTTGCAGGAGGACTGGGATGCAGCCTTTGGCCGTGAGGGCCCGTGTATGAGTGTGGGAGGCGCTGAAGTCTTTCCGAAAATCGTCCACTGCCGTGACAGCCTTGATTGCACCACAAGCCTCACGAACAATTTCGCAGTCGGAGGCCCATGCCTCTTTTTCCAGGCATTCCACCAGTGTGTCCAAGCCGCCATGCTCAACGAAGCTCACTTTATGATCCTCCGCACGCGTTGACAAGACACGCACCAGAGATAAAGAAGCAATGAGAAAGGAGCGTTGCTCCCTCAGTTGTGCTCGCCGAGCGGCTTGACAAAGCATGCGCATGCTGGTTGGCCGGAAAGCGTGCTTGCTCTGGTCTCCTGCACTACCCCCGCCGCACGCAGCCTCGGTCACAGCCACGGCCAATAACCTGGCTTTGGCTATCGCCTCAGCTTCCGCAGGATCCAGGGTTACACAGGAAGGTTCATCTCCCCATTCTTGCCATATTCGCGCAATTACATTCACCGCATCTTTAGACCCAAGCAATTTACGAGCGTTGTCTGCTCTCTTAATATCGCTATCCGTCAATGCCGAATGCAGAGCCTGAAGAGCCGCCAGCGTTGCCTCAGGACTCCAGGAAGGAGGTAGGCTGAGATCCGTCCCATTATCCAAGCAGTTCTTTAGCGCAGTCAGCTGTGCGTCCACCTCTTCGAGCCAGCGCCCGTCATTTTCGTTCAGTGTCACACAAATGTTCTCCAAGTCAACGCCTTGGCTTGTGAACTGCTGTAAAGCATCCTTGACGGCATCCGCCCTATCCATTTCGAGGTCAACCATATTCTCGTACACTGTCTCATCGAATGTTGCTTGTGATATTCTCTTTTTTGGGACTTCAGGGGTTGAGACCATTGACGTCGACGCTGAAAAAAAATGTAAGGAGCGCATCGGCGAAACAAAAATTGTGAGACGATGACCTTGCATGAATGAAAACGGGAAGAAGTTCACTCAACACACGCGGGCCGACTTGCACGCTATGGCAATCGTATCTGCGCTTCATGGTCAATCGTGTTCGGTGCTTTTCGTTCTAGAGATGACGGACAGGGGATCGACCTCCGTTCTTCATCCCTTTCAAGCGAGCGACTCGCACTTCTTTGGCGAGGTGGGGCAACTTTTGCGCCCTTCACCCCGACGGGCAGATTTATGCCCAAGCGCAAAACCCATCTGTCAACAGTTCTCATGGCTCACAGACGGGATGGATTAAATTTTGCCACAGGATCGCGCGGCACGCTTTGCTTCTTACGACTTTGCCGTTGCATTGACCTCGTCGTCCCTCCTCATCCCATCCTCCTCTCGAGATACACGAGGAGCGCATCAATGTAATGCACAATGTTACAGTTCTTTCCCCAATAATCTGATTTTATGAGTGAGGAGCGTGGTAGTCAGCCGCCCGCCTTGCAATTGCAAAACACGCGGGGTTCATTGTCCCGAAACGCGAGTGCCCCCGTTACTTCTTCCGCTTCTATCCCCGATGACGCCGCTTCACTTAAAAACGTCAGCAACAGCTTCAGTCCCCTGTGCAATGATATTTCCAGTCAATCTTTTGCCAGCGACCCATATGCACGACCGCAGGGGGCGACGCGTATGATAATCATGGATCCTCGTGCCTCGGGGGGTGGTTATGGAGGAAGTGGAGGGAGTGGAGCAGGAAGAGGAGAAATTAAAGGAGGTATCGGAGGGGGGAGAGGAGGGGCCTTGGGAAAAGGTCACAGGGGGCAAGGAAGGGGGGAAACAGGGAGTAAATGCCTAGATCTTGTCGCGACAGATGGAAGAGAAGGCACATTACGGCAGCAACACCCGCAAACATTTTCCCGAGACATTGAGAAGTCTACCAACTTCTCGAAAGATCCAACGGCTCCCAGAAGTATCAGCAGTCAGCAGAGTCAACAATCTGCAGGCGGACGATTGGGCGGCAGCAACGGATCACGACCGGGCGGGCTCGTGCTCACGAATACACGCAACTCCCTTCCTAATCCTCCTCGACAAACCTCTAACGATCAGGCTCTCTTCCACGGCCCTCGGCCGCCGATGAATAGACACGTACCCTTGCACCATAGAGCACCTTTACTGAGGACTCAGCAACGCCAGCAAACTGTCCAGTACCTGCAGCATGTGCAGTCAAGGGAGGCCCGGACGAGAGCTGCCGACCAGCGAAGCTCCGCTATCCCGGTTCCTCCGTCGGGCTTGCGACCTGACACGACAAGCTCTGCTGCTGGCGACTCATGTCGTCCACTTTCCCCGCACACACAAGCCGCCCAGACGTACAAGCCCCCTCATCAGCCGCTACTTTCCCTCGCCCCCCCCCCCCCGCCGACCTCTGAACCCCGAAGCGCGAGCACGGGTGTGGCACGTTATCAGGTCGAATGTGACCACCACGATGCTTCAAGGAAAGCAGCGATGGGAGTATCGGTCATGTCCGTTGCTCAGGCACAGCCAGGGTCACAGCCACAGATTCCACGCCCGCGCAGAGAAGGACAAGTACACCAGCAGCAACAGCAGCAGCGGCAGCAACCGCAGCAGCAGCAGCAGCAGCAGCAGCAGCAGCAACCGCATCAGGACCGACAAGGGCACTCGCAGCACCAAGAAGGAGATGCCAGCGCGGCCATTGACAGCCTCCGTGCGGCGCTGGTAGTGTTACAGGAAGAAAATGCAGACCTGCGGACGCACAACTTCGACTTGAGCGCCTCCTTGGTGATGGAGGAGGCAGAGCAGTCACGTTTACGACAGGATATGAAAAAACTGGAAAGTGAGAAGGCATTCATGGCACAGGAGGTCAGGGAGGCAGACCGTATGCGTGCCCGTGCGGAGAAGGAGAAGGAGCTGCAGCGTCAACAGCATTGCAAACAACCTGGTGCACGCGAGGAGATGTCGTTATCGTCAGGCAGCGGAAACGAGCAGGAGGGCATGGGCAAGAAAGAGAAAAAAAGAAGGATCGTAGGTCGTGAGGATGGTCTGTCGGCATCCGGACGCGGGGCAAGCCAGCTTTCAGAACACAAGGAAATAGGACGGGAGGAGATGGAAGATGCAGGCCCGGATGGAAGGGAAAATGAGACGTCAACGGCAAGCGATGCAATCGTCGAGGAGAACGACCTCCATGCTTGTGAGGAAGCGCTGGCAGCATTAAAGTGTCCCGTGCCGTCCACATCGCTCGTTCTCCAATCCTTGGTCGAGAGCCTGTGTCTTCTGCTGAGTACCGGCACTCCACACGTTGGAAGAAACAAGGAGGATACGCGACAAATGGAATGCTGGTGGAGCAGCGCCTTCAAGGAAGAAACTGGTCACTCACAAGTGCTCGCTCGCAGCCTAGGGCACAATTTTCTCACCCACGTGCGCCATTTTGGAAAAGAAGCGGATGGTGCTACGGAAGCGACCGGAGGAAGGCGATTTGTTCCTTTATCTGCCTTCTCCTCCTCTGGTACCTGTGATGCTTCCATCAGGGAGGGCCTCACAAACGGTGATAACAGCACTATGAACTGTAGTATCGCCTCTTCTATGGCCACCCAGCTGTACCTCTCTCTTTGGCCCATCTCCTCTTCTCTTTTCTTCTCACCTTCGACTAGTCATTTAATGCCGGACGTCCAGCAAGATACTGACATGTCCAGCAGCATGCTCCTCCCAATTATTCAGAGCCTTGGCGCGATGTTCCCGCACGTGCATGCGTTAGGCACGGACAAGGTAGTTGCGGCGCTGCGAGTTGCCCGTTGTCTCCTTAGCCTTTGCCCAGGCGAGAGCCGAGAGATGGCGCTCGTATCCGGAGGACATGAGAACGAAGGTGAGAACGCTGATCGTAAGGGGGACAAGGATACATGCTCGTCTTCGTTCATGCAGCGCTTCCAAGGTTCGAAGGTGGATGCCGAGCTACTACGATGGGCAGCGACGGGGGGGATGGATGGAGAAGGTGCGCGACAAGGTGGGAGTGGGAACAAGGAGGCGATAGGCTCATTTCTGAATCGATTGCTCGAATTGATCGACTGGGTGGGTGAGCACTGGAAAGACGGTCAC